TTAGTTTCAGTACTATGCTCCCTGGAGGAGGTAGTGAATGTTGGACTGAGAAGACATTCTGTTGTGGATGGTTCTTCAGTGGTGGAAGAACTAGACATCACTGTGTACTCAGATGGGTCCCTTGTGGTGTAGTTCTGCTCCACGTTCTCAGTGGTGTGTTTTGCTTTGTGGATAGGCTGGGTGCAGTTTGTCTCAGTAGGCTCAGGATGGGTGTAGAAGGGGTCCTTGATGGGGTTGTGTTGTAATCTCATTGTTGTAACGGTAGTTTCAGTACTATGCTCCCTGGAGGGGTAGTGAATGTTTGACTGAGAAGACACTCTGTTTGTGGATGGTTTTTCAGTGGTGGAAGAACTAGACTCTCCCAGACCTTCTACACCCAGTCCTGAGTCTACTGAGACAACTGCACCCAGCCAATCCACAAGAACAAACACACCCGCTGAACACCTGAAGCAGACTACACCACAAGGGACCTCATCTGAGTACACAGTGAAGTCTAGTTCTTCCACCACTGAACAACCATCCACAACAGAGGTGTCTTCTCAGTCCAATTCACTACCTCCTCCAGGAGCATAGTACTGAAACTACCGTTACAACAAGTGAGATTACAACACCTACCCCTCCCAGACCCCTTCTACCCAGTCCTGAGCCTACTGAGACAACTGCACCCAGCCTATCCACAAGAACAAACACACCCGCTGAACACCTGAAGCAGACTACACCACAAGGGACCTCATCTGAGTACACAGTGAAGTCTAGTTCTTTCCACCACTGAACAACCATCCACAACAGAGGTGTCTTCTCAGTCCACATTCACTACCTCCTCCAGGGAGCATAGTACTGAAACTACCGTTACAACAAGTGAGATTACAACACCAACCCCATCCAAGACCCCTTCTACACCCAGTCCTGAGCCTACTGAGACAACTGCACCCAGCCTATCCACAAGCATAAACACACCCACTGAGAACGTGGAGCAGACTACACCACAAGGGACCTCATCTGAGTACACAGTGATGTCTAGTTCTATCACCACCGAACAACCATCCACAACAGAAGTGTCTTCTCAGTCCACATTCACTACCTCCTCCAGGGAGCATAGAACTGAAACTACCGTTACAACAAGTGAGATTACAACACCTACTCCCTCCCAGACCGCTTCTACTCCAGTCCTGAGCCTACTGAGACAACTGCACCCAGCCAATCCACAAGAACAAACACACCCGCTGAACACCTGAAGCAGACTACACCACAAGGGACCTCATCTGAGTACACAGTGAAGTCTAGTTTCTTCCACCACTGAACAACCATCCACAACAGAGGTGTCTTCTCAGTCCACATTCACTACCTCCTCCAGGGAGCATAGTACTGAAACTACCGTTACAACAAGTGAGATTACAACACCAACCCCATCCAAGACCCCTTCTACACCCAGTCCTGAGCCTACTGAGACAACTGCACCCAGCCTATCCACAAGCATAAACACACCCACTGAGAACGTGGAGCAGACTACACCACAAGGGACCTCATCTGAGTACACAGTGAAGTCTAGTTCTTCCACCACTGAACAACCATCCACAACAGAGGTGTCTTCTCTGTCCACATTCACTACCTCCTCCAGGGAGCATAGTACTGAAACTACCGTTACAACAAGTGAGATTACAACACCTACTCCCTCCCAGACCGCTTCTACTCCCAGTCCTGAGCCTACTGAGACAACTGCACCCAGCCAATCCACAAGAACAAACACACCCGCTGAACACCTGAAGCAGACTACACCACAAGGGACCTCATCTGAGTACACAGTGAAGTCTAGTTCTTCCACCACTGAACAACCATCCACAACAGAGGTGTCTTCTCAGTCCACATTCACTACCTCCTCCAGGGAGCATAGTACTGAAACTACCGTTACAACAAGTGAGATTACAACACCAACCCCATCCAAGACCCCTTCTACACCCAGTCCTGAGCCTACTGAGACAACTGCACCCAGCCTATCCACAAGCATAAACACACCCACTGAGAACGTGGAGCAGACTACACCACAAGGGACCTCATCTGAGTACACAGTGATGTCTAGTTCTTCACCACCGAACAACCATCCACAACAGAAGTGTCTTCTCAGTCCACATTCACTACCTCCTCCAGGGAGCATAGTACTGAAAACTACCGTTACAACAAGTGAGATTACAAACACCTACTCCCTCCAAGACCGCTTCTACTCCCAGTCCTGAGCCTACTGAGACAACTGCACCCAGCCAATCCACAAGAACAAACACCCGCTGAACACCTGAAGCAGACTACACCACAAGGGACCTCATCTGAGTACACAGTGAAGTCTAGTTCTTCCACCACTGAACAACCATCCACAACAGAGGTGTCTTCTCAGTCCACATTCACTACCTCCTCCAGGGAGCATAGTACTGAAACTACCGTTACAACAAGTGAGATTACAACACCTACTCCCTCCAAGACTGCTTCTACACCCAATCCTGAGCCTACTGAGACAACTGCACCCAGCCTATCCACAAGCATAAACACACCCACTGAGAACGTGGAGCAGACTACACCACAGGGACCTCATCTGAGTACATAGTGAAGTCTAGTTCTTCCACCATTGAACAACCATCCACAACAGAGGTGTCTTCTCAGTCCACATTCACTACCTCCTCCAGTGAGCATAGTAGTGAAACTCCATTAACAACTAGTGAGACTACAACACCTACTCCCTCCCAGACCGCTTCTACTCCCAGTCCTGAGCCTACTGAGACAACTGCACCCAGCCAATCCACAAGAACAAACACACCCACCGAACACCTGAAGCAGACTACACCACAAGGGACCTCATCTGAGTACACAGTGAAGTCTAGTTCTTCCACCACTGAACAACCATCCACAACAGAGGTGTCTTCTCTGTCCACATTCACTACCTCCTCCAGGGAGCATAGTACTGAAACTACCGTTACAACAAGTGAGATTACAACACCTACTCCCTCCCAGACCGCTTCTACTCCCAGTCCTGAGCCTACTGAGACAACTGCACCCAGCCAATCCACAAGAACAAACCACACCCGCTGAACACCTGAAGCAGACTACACCACAAGGGACCTCATCTGAGTACACAGTGAAGTCTAGTTCTTCCACCACTGAACAACCATCCACAACAGAGGTGTCTTCTCAGTCCACATTCACTACCTCCTCCAGGGAGCATAGTACTGAAACTACCGTTACAACAAGTGAGATTACAACACCAACCCCATCCAAGACCCCTTCTACACCCAGTCCTGAGCCTACTGAGACAACTGCACCCAGCCTATCCACAAGCATAAACACACCCACTGAGAACGTGGAGCAGACTACACCACAAGGGACCTCATCTGAGTACACAGTGATGTCTAGTTCTTCCACCACTGAACAACCATCCACAACAGAAGTGTCTTCTCAGTCCACATTCACTACCTCCTCCAGGGAGCATAGTACTGAAACTACCGTTACAACAAGTGAGATTACAACACCTACTTCCTCCAAGACCGCTTCTACTCCCAGTCCTGAGCCTACTGAGACAACTGCACCCAGCCAATCCACAAGAACAAACACACCCGCTGAACACCTGAAGCAGACTACACCACAAGGGACCTCATCTGAGTACACAGTGAAGTCTAGTTCTTCCACCACTGAACAACCATCCACAACAGAGGTGTCTTCTCAGTCCACATTCACTACCTCCTCCAGGGAGCATAGTACTGAAACTACCGTTACAACAAGTGAGATTACAACACCTACTCCCTCCAAGACTGCTTCTACACCCAGTCCTGAGCCTACTGAGACAACTGCACCCAGCCTATCCACAAGCATAAACACACCCACTGAGAACGTGGAGCAGACTACACCACAAGGGACCTCATCTGAGTACATAGTGAAGTCTAGTTCTTCCACCATTGAACAACCATCCACAACAGAGGTGTCTTCTCAGTCCACATTCACTACCTCCTCCAGTGAGCATAGTAGTGAAACTCCATTAACAACTAGTGAGACTACAACACCAACCCCATCCAAGACCCCTTCTACACCCAGTCCTGAGTCTACTGAGACAACTGCACCCAGCCAATCCACAAGAACAAACACACCCGCTGAACACCTGAAGCAGACTACACCACAAGGGACCTCATCTGAGTACACAGTGAAGTCTAGTTCTTCCACCACTGAACAACCATCCACAACAGAGGTGTCTTCTCTGTCCACATTCACTACCTCCTCCAGGGAGCATAGTACTGAAACTACCGTTACAACAAGTGAGATTACAACACCTACTCCCTCCCAGACCCCTTCTACACCCAGTCCTAAGTCTACTGCGACAACTGCACCAGCCAATCCACAAGAACAAACACACCCGCTGAACACCTGAAGCAGACTACACCACACGGGACCTTATCTGAGTACACAGTGAAGTCTAGTTCTTCCACCACTGAACAACCATCCACAACAGAGGTGTCTTCTCAGTCCACATTTACTACCTCCTCCAGGGAGCATAGTACTGAAACTACCGTTACAACAAGTGAGATTACAACACCAACCCCATCCAAGACCCCTTCTACACCCAGTCCTGAGCCTACTGAGACAACTGCACCCAGCCTATCCACAAGCATAAACACACCCACTGAGAACGTGGAGCAGACTACACCACAAGGGACCTCATCTGAGTACACAGTGATGTCTAGTTCTTCCACCACCGAACAACCATCCACAACAGAAGTGTCTTCTCAGTCCACATTCACTACCTCCTCCAGGGAGCATAGTACTGAAACTACAGTTACAACAAGTGAGATTACAACACCTACTCCCTCCAAGACCGCTTCTACTCCCAGTCCTGAGCCTACTGAGACAACTGCACCCAGCCTATCCACAAGAACAAACACACCCACCGAACACCTGAAGCAGACTACACCACAAGGGACCTCATCTGAGTACACAGTGAAGTCTAGTTCTTCCACCACCGAACAACCATCCACAACAGAGGTGTCTTCTCAGTCCACATTCACTACCTCCTCCAGGGAGCATAGTACTGAAATGGCAGTTACAACAAGTGAGATTACAACACCTACTCCCTCCAAGACCCCTTCTAGAACCAGTCCTGAGCCTACTGAGACAACTGCACCCAGCCTATCCACAAGCATAAACACACCCACTGAGAACGTGGAGCAGACTACACCACAAGGGACCTCATCTGAGTACACAGTGATGTCTAGTTCTTCCACCACTGAAGAACCATCCACAACAGAGGTGTCTTCTCAGTCCACATTCACTACCTCCTCCAGGGAGCATAGTACTGAAACTATAGTTACAACAAGTGAGATTACAACACCTACTCACTCCCAGACCGCTTCTACTCCCAGTCCTGAGCCTACTGAGACAACTGCACCCAGCCTATCCACAAGAACAAACACACCCACCGAACACCTGAAGCAGACTACACCACGAGGGACCTCATCTGAGTACACAGTGAAGTCTAGTTCTTCCACCACTGAACAACCATCCACAACAGAGGTGTCTTCTCTGTCCACATTCACTACCTCCTCCAGGGAGCATAGTACTGAAACTATAGTTACAACAAGTGAGATTACAACACCTACTCCCTCCCAGACCCCTTCTACACCCAGTCCTGAGTCTACTGAGACAACTGCACCCAGCCAATCCACAAGAACAAACACACCCGGTGAACACCTGAAGCAGACTACACCACAAGGGACCTCATCTGAGTACACGGTGATGTCTAGTTCTTCCACCACTGAAGAACCATCCACAACAGAGGTGTCTTCTCAGTCCACATTCACTACCTCCTCCAGGGAGCATAGTACTGAAACTATAGTTACAACAAGTGAGATTACAACACCTACTCCCTCCCAGACCCCTTCTACACCCAGTCCTGAGTCTACTGAGACAACTGCACCCAGCCAATCCACAAGAACAAACACACCCGCTGAACACCTGAAGCAGACTACACCACAAGGGACCTCATCTGAGTACACAGTGAAGTCTAATTCTTCCACCACTGAACAACCATCCACAACAGAGGTGTCTTCTCAGTCCACGTTCACTACCTCCTCCAGGGAGCATAATACTGAAACTACAGTTACAACAAGTGAGATTGCAACACCTACTCCCTCCCAGACCCCTTCTACACCCAGTCCTGAGCCTACTGAGACAACTGCACCCAGCCTATCCACAAGCACTGTCACACCCACTGAGCACCTGAAGCAGACTACACCACAAGGGACCTCATCTGAGTACACAGTGGTGTCTAGTTCTTCCACAACTGAACAACCATCCACAAAGCACCTGTCTTCTCAGTCAACACTGTCATTTTACACCAGCAAGGCATCTTCCCCTTCCACCACTACTCGTGTACACACATCGACTAATTCACAGCTTACAAGTTTGTCTGGTAGGTATCTGTGTATTCGTATGGAAATGATGTTTATCTCCCAGCATATAATTCCAGTGTTTAACAGTTTACACATGTGGTCCATATGCTACTGGGCCAACTAAAAAGTTATTGTATTGATTTATAATGCCTTTAACAACTTCAGTCTAGGATATCTTCAATACCGTTTGATAAGTTATATTCCTGTTAGATCTCTCCCGACTTTGTGGGAGTGGCTCTAAGTGGTTCCGCATGACTCAGGCGCATACGTCAGCCACCAATGAACTGTGTGTTCAGAATTGTGGCCGAAATTCTGTGGAACTCCCTCTTGGCTGAGACCTCTTCTTGATTGAACTGCAGGCCCCCGTGAAAGCTTTGTTGTTTTCAGCTAGAAATTTAGGCAACACTTTTTGGTTTTCTGATGAAATGCAATCTAATTGATTCTGTCATTTGTATTGCTCTTGACGCCTCACTGGACACGTCTTAGAAGTAATTGCTTTAAGTGGTACAGTATATTTATTGTTGGATCCTGACATGAGGGCTCTTTTGTCGACTTGTTCTTAAATATTGTTAATCTTCTGCTCTTTTCCTCTTCCTCAGCTTCTTCCACCACAGTTGTCCCTCTTGGGTGCCTTAACGGGGGAGTGCTTGTTGAGGGTTTTTGTCACTGCCCATCTCCCTATACTGGGCAGAGTTGTGAAGAGGCAAAGAATGAAATCCAAGTGGGTAAGTGAGCATTATTAGTACAAGCCTCCTGCCCTCTGGCTCTTCCTTTGAAAACAAAAGCTCAGGAATGTCCGGGTATGTGTAGTAATTTTCTAGGTGGGCAATGTTTGTGGTCCTGTGGCTTCAAACTTTGTGTTTCGCATTGCTGGGAGTGATCTTGCTTCTTTGATGACCTGCGTGTTTCTCTGTTGAAGTCTTGAGACACAGGTGCCCAAGCCAGCCTTCCCTAACATTGTGCTCTCCAGACATGGCTCCTCCCATCTGCCTCAGTGAGCATGGCCAATGGCCAGGCAGGACTTGTAATTGCAGCCCAATGACACCTGAAGGGCACCAAGTTGGGGGACCCCTCTGACCTCAAAAATGTCACCTGCCTCAGGACCTGGAGAGTTCATGTCAGCAAGAGTAGACTACACTGAGCTGATACGCACACATTCCAGTGTATTTCATAACCTGTACAAGCACCCTTTCTCTGCACACTTGGTGTGGATCCAGAAGTGATTCATATTGTTTCCTCTGATCTCCACTTGCCTGCACTGTCACTCTTGTGAGCTCTGCACACTTGGTGTGGATCCAGAAGTGATTCATATTGTTTCCATGATCACTGCAATTCTCTTGCGACTCAATGAAAACCTGAAGTGCTTTTTCTCACATCTGAAACTGTAGCTGTACCTTCATGTATAATGACTCCTGTGCTTTCTGATCACAGTGACTGTTGTGGCCACAATCAATGTCTCTGTAACAGTGAAGAATTGGAAGTTCAGCCCAGAGATGGCGAATTCCAGCTCTTCTGACTTCCAGACATTCGTGAAGATCTTTGAGGAACAGGTGAGGGGTGGTTGGTTGTGCACAGAGAGATGACACCCCGCAAAATACTCACACCCAAACCCTAAGGCCCCATTCATACTCCATTCCTCAGTGGTGATGTTCATTCACAGCAAGTCTGGAAACACAGTGAGGTTTCCCTCATTTGGAATACCTGGATATCCAGCTTCAGAAATGGAGCCATCAGATGAGTATAGAAAGCTGTAATTTGTAGCTCAGAACTGATGGTTCAAACCCTAAGACACAATTAGGAACCGTCTTCCTAATTGAAAGACCAATGTTAAAGTGTCAAAGGTCATCTTCCAGCCTTTATAATCATCCCATGCCTTTGGCCAGGCTATCTGCTGGGAACTGGAGTCCAAGAACAGCTGGGGGAGGGCCACTGACTAGCCATGCCCAGCACAGGAGATACCCCAAAGGTGTGTTGGAAGGGGAGAGGAGTTAAGGGAGCACAGCAGGATAGAGAGGTCCTACTCAGCACACAGGAGGGACCCAGAATCTGCTGGGATGGGGGGTTTAGTATTTCTCAGATCAATCAACAGTATCTTATACACGTAGAATTTTTGTTGTTGTTTCTGCTGCCATGGAAAAAGCCCAACTCTACAGTACTATGATTCTAGAACTGCTGACCTGCACCTCAAAGCCACGCTCTGTCTGAGTAGATACAGAGGGCTGGTGATGCTTGCAGACCGCAGCTGCTTTGTTGCCAATGTGCAGACCCTGCTGTTGATTGGTGCTTCCGACTGTTGCTGTCTATGCAGCTGAGATGAGACCTCTCTCTCTTTGTAGATGAACATCTTCTATGCGGACATTCCTGGGTACAATGGTGTAAAGGTGATTCGGCTGAGGTGAGTCACAGAGGAGATACAGCTGGGGACCAAGTATGGGAGGGAGGGTGCTGCTTGGTGCCATGCAATTTCCTGGGCCTCCTGCTGTGAGTGGCCACGCCCCTTTAAGCGACAGCCTCCACTACCATCATTCACCTCACATCAGGCTGGCTGAGGGCACCTTTGGGGTTGTGGCTAAGTGATTTCTCTCTCTTCCTTCCTCCTGCCTCTTCTCAGCAATGGTAGTGTTATCGTGGACCACGAGGTGCTCCTGCAGCTTCACTTCTCAGACTTCAATGCTTCTTACAATGCTTCCATGAAGAACCTCACACAGACCTTGCAAAAGAATTGCACTTCCAATGACAAAGGTGAGGAGGCACCTGCCACTTCTCATGGAAAGGTCTGGCTGTCATGAGGAAGCAGAAGTCATCCAAGGGTTGTGATTCTGTCCCTCCTTATTTGGGAGGAAATTGCACCAGCATCACAACTGCATGTACTTCTGAGTCAACATGCATAGGATGGGGCTCCCAAGGTGGCAGCCAGGAGTTAAGCATGGGGTTGTCAGTCACACTGGGAGCCCAAAGGGAGGCTGTGAGGCGGCCGGTGAGCCACCTCTCTGCAGAACCTGAGCAGCTCCACTGAGTCCAAGTCACCCCGACTCCCCTGGTTCAAAACAATTACGTTGTTTTACTAGGAACAGAGGTATCCCTTTGAAACTGAGCAAGACGAAATTGTACGAAAGCTTATTGTCCAAAATGGAATGAAATCAAGGTCTTCCCAGCCTGCCAGTTTCACTCCAGAGAAAAACAGGAATCAAGAATAAAATGCGCCTCAGTTAAGCCGTATCTGAGACCACCTAGTGTTATCTATCCATGCTGAGAAGTGGGGGTGCAAACCCTTCTCTGATACCCCAGTAGCTCTCCTGCAACATCAGCCAACCGCAGCTGAGTTTCCCATGCCCACATGGAGATGAATATCCGGTTGCTTCCTCTCAGAAGAGGTGTGCTTCCTTCAAGCTTGGTGGCAGGGAGTCATGACAAGTGGGGGCGGGAGTAGAAGAAGAGGTCCCTCCCCATTGATGCCCCCCCAATCTTCCTTTCAGAAGCCTCACCTTTGCTTTCTCCCTCTCCTTTAGATAAGCTCTGCTTTACTGAAGGAGCATCTGATGTGACTGCAGTGCCCCTGAGTCCTAAAGGTGAGGATTGGCGTATTAGAGGGGATTGGTGTGTGGGGTATAAATGTATAAAGACGATGATGATGATCCAGCAGCCAAGCTCCTCTTTTGTTCTCCTAGTCCCATGCATGTGGTGTTGTGAGACATTTGCATTCTTCCTTTGCTGACCCTACTCTCTCCTTTTCCATTCCCAGATCTGTCGGACGAATGCAAGAATGCCTCAGTGGTGGCGCACAACCTCCAGCCATATTATGTGGCACGGGTCATCAACAACACACTTCATTGTGTCTCTAATTGCAGTGCTTGGAACCCCCACCCATTCCACTGTGCGAGTGGAAAGTGCCACATCACCTCTGAGGGGCCCAAATGCCAGTGAGTAGCATGCCGGGGATGAAGGAGGGAAAGGAGACATGCGGTCAACTCTCCCCCGTAGGCGGGTCATAGAATCATAGAATCATAGAGTTGGAAGAGACCACAAGGGCCATCGAGTCCAACCCCCTGCCAAGCAGGAAACACCATCAGAGCACTCCTGACATATGGTTGTCAAGCCTCTGCTTAAAGACCTCCAGAGAAGGAGACTCCACCACACTCCTTGGCAGCAAATTCCACTGTCAAACAGCTCCTACTGTCAGGAAGTTCTTCCTAATGTTTAGGTGGAATCTTCTTTCTTGTAGTTTGGATCCATTGCTCCGTGTCCGCTTCTCTGGAGCAGCAGAAAACAACCTTTCTCCCTCCTCTATGTGACATCCTTTTATATATTTGAACATGGCTATCATATCACCCCTTAACCTCCTCTTCTCCAGGCTAAACATGCCCAGCTCCCTTAGCCGTTCCTCATAAGGCATCGTTTCCAGGCCTTTGACCATTTTGGTTGCCCTCCTCTGGACACGTTCCAGTTTGTCAGTGTCCTTCTTGAATTGTGGTGCCCAGAACTGGACACAGTACTCCAGGTGAGGTCTGACCAGAGCAGAATACAGTGGCACTATTACTTCCCTTGATCTAGATGCTATACTCCTATTGATGCAGCCCAATAAGCACTATCAGTGGTGAATAGTTATATGCATTTTTATAAAATAGTCCAATACAATTTGTTTCCTATCCGTTCTAGGGAGACGCCAAGCACAACTAGTGAAACATCCATTTCTACAAATTTGAAAACAACACCATCTACTTATGCAACTACAACACCTTCTGCTTATACTACTACGGAAATATCCACCACTTCTGAAACAACAACCACAACGAGTGAGACTACAGAAACTATTCCATCTAAGACCCCTTCTACATCCAGTCCTGAACCTTCTGAGACAACTGCACCTACCCTGTCTTCAAGCACAAACACACCCACTGGGCACTCGAAGCAGACTACACCACAAGGAACCTCATCTGTGTACACAGTGATGTCTAGTTCTTCCACCACTGAGCAACCATCCACAAAACAGCTTTCTTCTCAGTCAACATTGTCTGTCTCCTCCAGTGAGTTGACCTCTGAAACTACTAGCACTACAAGTGAGAGTACAACACCTACTCCTTCCAAGACTCCTTTAACTTCTCGTTCTGAGGCTTCTGAGACAACTGCACCTACCCTGTCTTCAGGCACAAACACACCCACTGAGCATGTGGAGCAGACTACACCCCAAGGAACCTCATCTGAGTACACAGTGATGTCTAGTTCTTCCACCACTGAGCAAACATCCACAAAGCAGCTGTCGTCTCAGTCAACATTGTCAGTCCCCTCTGGCGAGGTCACTTCTGAAACTACAACCACAACTAGTGAGACTGCAACACCTACTCCTTCCATGACACCTTTTACATCCAGTCCTGGGCCTTCTGAAACAACTTCACCCTTCTTATCTTCAAACACCCACCCACCCACTGAGCATGTGGAGCAGACTACACCCCAAGGAACCTCATCTGAGTACACAGTGATGTCTAGTTCTTCCACCACTGAGCAACCATCCACGAAACAGCTTTTTCTCAGTCAACATTTACTACCTCCTCCAGTGAGCATAGTACCTGAAACTACAGTTACTAGTGAGACTGCAACACCTACTCCATCCACAACCCCTTCTACATCCAGTCCTGAACCTTCTGAGACAACTGCACCTACCCTGTCTTCAAGCACAAACACACCCACTGAGCACTTGAAGCAGACTACACCCCAAGGAACCTCATCTGAGTACACAGTGTTGTCTAGTTTATCCACCACTGAGCAACCATCCACAAAACAGCTGTCTTCTCAGTCAACATTGTCTGTCTCCTCCAGTGCGTTGACCTCTGAAACTACTAGCACTACAAGTGAGGGTACAATGCCTACTCCTTCCAAGACTCCTTTAACTTCTCGTTCTGAGGCTTCTGAGACAACTACACCTGCCCTGTCTTCAGGCACAAACACACCCACTGAGCATGTGGAGCAGACTACACCCCAAGGAACCTCATCTGAGTACACAGTGATGTCTAGTTCTTCCACCACTGAGCAACCATCCACAAAACAGCTTTCTTCTCAGTCAACATTGTCAGTCCCCTCTGGCGAGGTCACTTCTGAAACTACAACCACAACTAGTGAGACTGCAACACCTACTCCTTCCATGACTCCTTTTACATCCAGTCCTGAACCTTCTGAAACAACTTCACCCTTCTTATCTTCAAACACCCACCCACCCACTGAGCATGTGGAGCAGACTACACCCCAAGGAACCTCATCTGAGTACACAGTGATGTCTAGTTCTTCCACCACTGAGCAAACATCCACAAAGCAGCTGTCGTCTCAGTCAACATTGTCTGTCTCCTCCAGTGAGTTGACCTCTGAAATTACAAACACTACAAGTGAGAGTACAACACCAACTCCATCCATGACAACTTTTACTTCTCGTTCTGAGGCTTCTGAGACAACTGCACCTACCCTGTCTTCAGGCACAAACACACCCACTGAGCATGTGGAGCAGACTACACCCCAAGGAACCTCATCTGAGTACACAGTGATGTCTAGTTCTTCCACCACTGAGCAACCATCCACAAAACAGCTGTCGTCTCAGTCAACATTGTCTGTCTCCTCCAGTGAGTTGACCTCTGAAATTACAAGCACTACAAGTGAGAGTACAACACCAACTCCATCCATGACAACTTTTACTTCTCATTCTGAGGCTTCTGAGACAACGGCACCTACCATGTCTTCAGGCACAAACACACCCACTGAGCATGTGGAGCAGACTACACCCCAAGGAACCTCATCTGAGTACACAGTGATGTCTAGTTCTTCTACCACTGAGCAACCATCCACAAAACAGCTTTCTTCTCAGTCAACATTGTCAGTCCCCTCTGGTGTGGTCACTTCTGAAACTACAACCACAACTAGTGAGACTGCAACACCTACTCCTTCCATGACACCTTTTACATCCAGTCCTGAGCCTTCTGAAACAACTTCACCCTTCTTATCTTCAAACACCCACCCACCCACTGAGCATGTGGAGCAGACTACACCCCAAGGAACCTCATCTGAGTACACAGTGATGTCTAGTTCTTCCACCACTGAGCAACCATCCACAAAACAGCTGTCGTCTCAGTCAACATTGTCTGTCTCCTCCAGTGAGTTGACCTCTGAAATTACAAGCACTACAAGTGAGAGTACAACACCAACTCCATCCATGACAACTTTTACTTCTCATTCTGAGGCTTCTGAGACAACGGCACCTACCATGTCTTCAGGCACAAACACACCCACTGAGCATGTGGAGCAGACTACACCCCAAGGAACCTCATCTGAGTACACAGTGATGTCTAGTTCTTCCACCACTGAGCAACCATCCACAAAACAGCTTTCTTCTCAGTCAACATTGTCAGTCCCCTCTGGTGTGGTCACTTCTGAAACTACAACCACAACTAGTGAGACTGCAACACCTACTCCTTCCATGACACCTTTTACATCCAGTCCTGAGCCTTCTGAAACAACTTCACCCTTCTTATCTTCAAACACCCACCCACCCACTGAGCATGTGGAGCAGACTACACCCCAAGGAACCTCATCTGAGTACACAGTGATGTCTAGTTCTTCCACCACTGAGCAAACATCCGCAAAGCAGCTGTCGTCTCAGTCAACATTGTCTGTCTCCTCCAGTGAGTTGACCTCTGAAATTACAAGCACTACTAGTGAGAGTACAACACCTACTCCATCCATGACAACTTTTACTTCTCGTTCTGAGGCTTCTGAGGCTTCTGAGACAACTGTACCTACCCTGTCTTCAAGCACAAACAAACCCACTGAGCATGTGGATCAGACTACACCCCAAGGAACCTCATCTGAGTACACAGTGATGTCTAGTTCTTCCACCACTGAGCAACCATCCACAAAACAGCTTTCTTCTCAGTCAACTTTGTCAGTCCCCTCTGGCAAGGTCACTTCTAAAACTACAACCACAACTAGTGAGACTGCAACACCTACTCCTTCCATGACACCTTTAACTTCTAGTTCTGAGCCTTCTGTGACTACTGCACCTACCCTGTCTTCAAACACCCACCCACCCACTGAGCACGTGAAGCAGACTACCTCAGAAGGGACCTCATCTGAGTACACAGTAGTGATGACTAGTTCTTCCACCACTGAGCAACCATCCACAAAACAGCTGTCTTCTCAGTCTACATTGTCCGTCACCTCCATTAAGGTGACTTCAGAAACTCCAGCCACAACTAGTGAGACCACAACATCTACTTCATCCATCACCCCTTTTACTTCCAGTTCTGAGCCTTCTGAGACAACTGCAGCCATCCTATCTGCTAGCACCAACACCACCCGTACACCAGAACGGAGCTCACCACTGCTTACAGCTTCCACAGCCTATCATGGATCTGCTAGCACAGAAATTGCCACTAGTGGAACATCTCATTCATCGACATCCCTTGAAACAAGTGGAGAGACTTTCACCACTATTGTAGCTCAAAGCACTTCCAACACAACATTATCATCTGCATCCATCGCTGAGTCCGTAACCACACACTCTACTACTAGCATATCAGAAATGACCCCAACACTGTTGCCCACTACATTAACGCCTTTTGCTTATACTACTACAAAAATAGCGACCGCCGAGGCATCTTCACCTTTCACCACTATTCATGGACGCACATCGACTAATTCACAGCTTACAAGTTCATCTGGTAAGTATCTGTGTAATCATATGGAAATGATGTTTATCTCACAGTACAGTATTCCAGTGCTTAACAGTTTACACATGCTGCCCATACTGGGCCAACTACAAAGTTATTTTATCAATTTACAAGGCCTTTAACAACTTGAGTCTAGGATATCTTCAATACTGTTTGATGCGTTATATCCCTGTTAAATCACTCCCGACTGTTTCCAATCAAACAATTTCCCAAATAACATATTTTCATCTTTTGAACTTCCCTCAGCTTCTCTGACAATCATCCGTATTTAAATTTTTGCCTATGCATTCCTCAAATTTAGTATCGCCTTTTAAAAATACCTTTCTAACCTTATTTGCATTCTTGCAATATTCCTTATTTTTTCACAAAGCTTCTTTAAAACCCACTAGCATTGTTTGCTCATCACATACACTCTTCAAATATTCTGAAAATTTTTCCCAGTCCTCAATGAACTTGTGATCTCGTTGATATCCAATTTTCCCAGTTAATTTGTCCAGTTCTGCATAATCCATTAGCTTCATTCTCCATTCCTCCAGTCGGTAGTTCTTCCTGCTTCCATTTTTGGGCCATTAATATTCTCGCTGCTGTTATTGCATACTGAAAAAGTTTACAGTCCCTTTTATTTATTTCATTTCTTGTTATTCCTAGAAGGAAGGTTTCTGGTTTCTTTACAAAACTATATTTCAACATCTTCTTTAACTCATTATATATCATCTCCCAGAACCCCTTCACTTTCTTACATTCCCACCACATCTGAATAAAGGTTCCTTCTTTCCCTTTACATTTCCAACACTTATTACAAGTTTTAAACATTTTTGCTAATTTAACCGGTGTAATATACCATCTCTATACCATTTTCATAACATTTTCCTTTAGCGTAATGCATGCAGTAAACTTCAGGTTATCATTCCATACTTTGACCCAATTTTCAAGATATATATTGTACCCAAAATCTCTGGCCCAATGAATCATTACCGACTTAACTTCCTCGTCCATCGTATACCATTCCAGTAACATTTTGTACATTTTTGAGATTATCTTACAATCATTATTAACTATTTCTGTTTGGAATTTTGAATCTTTTTCTATATAACCCTTTTCTTTCACATCTTTTTTAAACATGTCATTTATCTGATAATAGTGCAACCAATCAAATACATATTCTTTTACTTGTTCATATGGCTTCAATCTCCATTTCTCTCCAACTTTAACCACTAGATCTCCATAAGTAATCCAATTACCTCTCATGTAATTTTTTTTAACACACATGACCTCTAATGGGGCTCTTTTCCTCTTCCTCAGCTTCTTCCACCTCAGTTGTCCCTCTCGGGTGCCTTAATGAAGGAGTGCTTGATGAAGGTCATTGTCACTGTCCATCTCCCTATACTGGGCAGCAATGTGAAGAGGCAAAGAATGAAATCCAAGTGGGTAAGTCTGAGCATTATTAGTACAAGGCTCCTGCCCTCTGGTTCTTCCTTTGAAAACAAAAGCTCAGGAATGTCCGGGTATGTGTAGTTATAATAATAATAATAATAATAATAATAATAATAATAATAAATTTTATTTATATCCCGCCCTCCCCAGCCAAAGCTGGGCTCAGGGCGGCTAACAACAATCAAAATAATCCAACATTCTAAAAACATTTCATTATAAAAATTAATTAAAATCAAATTGATGGCAACCATTAAGCAAAATTCTGTGCAGATTGCCAGAGGAGGGGGTCAGGCTGCGCCCTGACCAAAGGCCTGGTGGAACAGCTCTGTCTTGCAGGCCCTGCGGAAAGATGTCAGGTCCCGCAGGGCCCTAGTCTCTTGTGACAGAGCGTTCCACCAGATTGGAGCCGCAGCTGAGAAGGCCCTGGCTCTAGTTGAGGCCAGCCTAACCTCTCTGAGGCCTGGGACCTTGAGGATGTTATTATTTGCAGACCGTAGGTTTCTCTGTGGGGCATACCAGGAGAGGCGGTCCCGTAGGTATGAGGCTCCTAGGCCGTATAGGGCTTTAAAGGTTAAAACCAGCACCTTAAACCTGATCCTGTACTCCACCGGGAGCCAGTGCAGCTGGTATAGTACCGGGTGAATGTGATCTCGCAGCGAAGACCCCATAAGGAGTCTCGCCGCGGCATTCTGCACCTGCTGGAGTTTCTGGGTCAGTCTCAAGGGCAGCCCCACGTAGAGCGAGTTACAATAATCCAGTCTGGAGGTGACCGTCACATGGATCACAGTGGCTAGGTCAGGCGAGAGAGGTAAGGAGCCAATTGCTTAGCTTGGCGGAGATGAAAAAATGCCGCCTTTGTTATAGCTGCAATCTGCGCCTCCATAGAGAGGGCGGTATCGAAGATTACATCCAAACTCTTAACAGACAGTGCTGGCACTAATTGCACCCCCGCAAGAGATGGGAGTTGCCCCCTCAATCCCATATCGTCCCGTCCCACCCAGAGGACCTCTGTCTTCGAAGGATTTAACTTCAACCGGCTCCCGCGTAACCATCCAGCCACAGCTTCCAAACATCTGGTCAGTGTGTCTGGGGCCGAGTCAGGATGGCCATCCATCAACAGATAGAGTTGGGTGTCATCAGCATACTGATGGGCAGCCCAGCCCAAAACTCCGGACAAGCTGGGTGAGGGGGCACATAAAGATGTTAAAAAACATCGGGGAGAGAATCGCACCCTGAGGCACTCCACACACCAAGGAGTGGCGCGATGACAATACCCCCCCCAAGTGCCACCCTCTGTCCCCGACCAGAGAGAAATGAGCACAGCCATTGAAGGACTGTGCCCTGGATCCCCACGTCGGCAAGGCGGTGGTCCAGGAGTTCGTGATTGACCATGTTGAAGGCTGCTGACAGGTCTAGAAGAATCAGCAGCCCCGACCCGCCTCGATCCAGCTGCCTGCGGAGATCATCTGTTAGGGCGACCAGAGCCGTCTCGGTCCCATGACCAGCACGGAAGCTGGACTGGAATGGATCCAGAGCCAATGTTTCATCCAGAAACCTACCAAGCTGTTCAGCAACCGCTCTCTCAATCACCTTACCCAGGAATGGAAGATTCGAAACCGGGCGGTAATTGGATAGATCTAAGGGATCTAATGACGTTTTCTTTAAGAGCGGGCGCACCACTGCCTCCTTCAGTTCCCCTGGGAATATCCCGGTGCCAAGGGACAAATTGATGATATCCCCCGGGGGGCCTGCACCTTGTCTGGACACACTCTAATCAGCCAAGACGGGCACGGGTCAAGAGGACAGGTGGTGGGCTTTCCAGCTCGGAGGAGTCTGTCCACATCGGCTGGGGATATCCGGTCATAGTGGTCCAATACTGGACCCGAGGACAGTCGAGGGGCCTCCAGTTCCTTTATTGTATCCAAATTGGCAGGGAGGTCATGGCAGAGCAACAGGACCTTCTCCGCAAAAAAGCCTAGTTAATTTCTAGGTGGGCAACATTTTTGGTCCTGTGACTTCAAACTTTGTGTTTTGCATTGCTGGGAGTGATTTTGCTTCTTTGATGACTTGCATGTTTCTCTGTTGAAGTCTTGAGACACGGGTGCCCAAGCCAGCCTTCCCTAACATTCGGCTCTCCAGACATGCCTCCTCCCATCTGCCTCAGTGAGCGTGGTCAGTGGCCAGGCAGGACTTGTAATTGCAGCCCAATGACACCTGAAGGGCACCAAGTTGGGGGATCACTCTGACCTCAAGAATGTCACCTGCCTCAGGACCTGGAGAGTTCCTGTCAGCAACAGTAGACTACACTGAGCTGATACGCGCACATTACCATGTATTTCATAACCTGTACCAGCACCCTTTCTCTGCACACTTGGTGTGGATCCAGAAGTGATTCATATTGTTTCCATGATCACTGCAATTCTCTTGCGACTCAATGAAAACCTGAAGTGCTTTTTCTCACATCTGAAACTGTAGCTGTACCTTCATGTATAATGACTCCTGTGCTTTCTGATCACAGTGACTGTTGTGGCCACAATCAATGTCTCTGTAACAGTGAAGAATTGGAAGTTCAGCCCAGAGATGGCGAATTCCAGCTCTTCTGACTTCCAGACATTCGTGAAGATCTTTGAGGAACAGGTGAGGGGTGGTTGGTTGTGCACAGAGAGATGACACCCCGCAAAATACTCACACCCAAACCCTATGGCGACTTCTGAGTCCAGGCCCCATTCATACTCCATTCCTCAGTGGTGAAGTTCATTCACAGCAAGTCTGGAAACACAGTGAGGTTTCCCTCATTTGGAATACCTGGATATCCAGCTTCAGAAATGGAGCCATCAGATGAGTATAGAAAGCTGTAATTTGTAGCTCAGAGCTGATGGTTCAAACCCTAAGACACACATCAGGAACCGTCTTCCTAATTGTCACTTTTGAAAGACCAATGTTAAAGTGGCAAAGGTCATCTTCCAGCCTTTATCCCATCCCTTTGGCCAGTCTGCCTGCTGGGAACTGGAGTCCAAGAACAACTGGGGGAGGGCCACTGACTAGCCATGCCCAGCACAGGAGATACCTCAAAGGTGTGTTGGAAGGGTAGAGGAGTTAAGGGAGCACAGGAGGATAGAGAGGTCCTACTCAGCAGACAGGAGGGACCAAGAATCTGCTGGGATGGGGGGTTTAGTATTTCTCAGATCAACAAACTAGTATCTTGTACATGTAGAGTTTTTTGTTGCTTCTTCTGCCTTGGAAATTCCTGCATTGCAGGATTTGGACCCAATAACCCTCAAGTCCCTTCCAGCTCTACAATTCTATAATTCTAGGACTGCTCACACACATCTCAAAGCCACGCTCTGTCTGAGTAGACACAGAGGGCTGGTGATGCTTGCAGACAGCAGCTGCTCTGCTGCCTCTGTGCAGACACTGCTGTTGATTGGTGCTTCCGACTGTTGCTGTCTATGCAGCTGAGATGAGACCTCTCTCTCTTTGCAGATGAACATCTTCTATGCGGACATTCCTGGGTACACGGGTGTAAAGGTGATTCGGCTGAGGTGAGTCACAGAAGAGATACAGCTGGGGACAAAGTATGGGAGGAGGGTCTGCTTGGTGCCACACAATCTCTTGGGCCTCCTGCTGTGAGTGGCCACGCCCCTTTAAGCGACAGCCCCCACTAACATCATTGACCTCACATCATGCTGGCTGAGAGCGCCTTTGGGGTTGTGGCTAAGTGATTTCTCTCTCTTCCTTCCTGCTGCCTCTTCTCAGCAATGGTAGTATTATCGTGGACCACGAGGTGCTCCTGCAGCTTCACTTCTCAGACTTCAATGCTTCCTACGATGAATCCGTGAAGAACCTTACACAGACCTTGCAAAAGAATTGCACTTCCAATGACAAAGGTGAGGGGGCACCTGCCACTTCTCGTGGAAAGGTCTGGCTGGCATGAGGAAGCAGAAGTCATCCAATGGTTGTGATTCTGTCCCTCCTTATTTGGGAGCAAATTGCACCAGCATCACAAGTGCATGTACTTCTGAGTCAACATGCATAGGATGGGGCTCCCAAGGTGGTAGTCAGGAGTTAAGCCTGGGGTTGCCAGTCACACTGGGAGCCCAAAGGGAGGCTGTGAGGTGGCCGGTGATCCACCTCTCTGCAGAACCTGAGCAGCTCCACTGAGTCCAAATCACCCCGACTCCCCTGGTTCAAAACAATTACATTGTTTTACTAGGAACAGAGGCATCCCTTTGAAACTGAGCAAGACGAAACAGTACGAAAGCTTATTGTCCAAAATGGAATGAAATCAAGGTCTTCCCAGCATGCCAATTTCACTCCAGAGAAAAACAGGAATCAAGAATAGAATGCGCCTCAGTTAAGCCGTATCTGAGGCCACCTAGTGTTATCTATCCATGCTGAGAAGTGGGGGTGCAAACCCTTCTCTGTTGCCCCAGCAGCTGTGCTGAAACATCAGCCAACCCCAGTTGATTTCCCCATGCCCACATGGAGATGAATATCCGGTTGCTTCCTCTCAGAAGAGGTGTGCTTCCTTCAACCTTGGTGGCAGGGAGTCATGACAAGTGGGGGCGGGGGTGGAAAAGAAGAGGTCCCTCCCCATGGATGCTCCACCCCCCGCCCCGATTTCTTCCTTTCAGAAGCCTCATCTTTGCTTTCCTCGTCTCCTTTAGATCGGCTCTGCTTTACTGAAGGAGCATCTGATGTGACTGCAGTGCCCCTGAGTCCTAAAGGTGAGGATTGGCGTATTAGAGGGGATTGGTGTGTGAGGTATAAATGTATAATGATGATGATGATGATGATCCAGCAGCCAAGCTCCCCTTTTGTTCTCCTAGTCCAGGGGTCAGCAAACTTTTTCAGCAGGGGGCCGGTCGACTGTCTCTCAGACCTTGTGGGGGGCTGGACTATATTTTGGGAAAAAATAATGAATTTCTATATCCTCAAAATAACCCAGAGATGCATTTTATATAAAAACACATATTCTACTCATGTAAAAAAACCGCTGATTCCTGGACCATCTGTGGGCCGGATTTAGAAGGTGATTGGGCCGGATTTGGCCCCTGGGCCTTAGTTTGCCTACCCATGTCCTAGTCCCATGTGCATGTGCATGTGGTGTTGTGAGACATCTGCATTCTTCCTTTGCTGACCCTACTCTCTCCTTTTCCATTCCCAGATCTGTCAGATGAATGCAAGAATGCCTCAGTGGTGGCGCACAACCTCCAGCCATATTATGTGGCGCGGGTCATCAACAACACACTTCATTGTGTCTCTAATTGCAGTGCTTGGAACCCCCACCCATTCCACTGTGTGAGTGGAAAGTGCCACATCACCTCTGAGGGGCCCAAATGCCAGTGAGTAGCATGCCGGGGATGAAGGAGGGAAAGGAGACATGCGGTCAACTCTTCCCTGTAGGCGGGTCCAATAAGCACTATCAGTGGTGAATAGTTATATGCATTTTTCTAAAATAGTCCAATACAATTGTTGCCTATCCGTTCTAGGGAGACTCCAAGCACAACAAGTGAAACATCCATTTCAACAAATTTGAACACAACACCTTCTGCTTATACTACTACGAAAATATCCACTACTTCTGAAACTACAACCACAACTAGTGAGACTACAGCACCTACTCCCTCCACGACCCCTTTTACATCCAGTCCTGAGCCTTCTGAGACAACTTCACCTACCCTGTCTTCAAGCACAAACACACAAACTGAGCATGTGGAACAGACTACACCACATGGAACCTCATCTGAGTACACAGTGATGTCTAGTTCTTCCTCCACTGAGCAACCATCCACAAAACAGCTGTCTTCTCAGTCAACATTGTCTGTCTCCTCCAGTGAGGTGACTTCTGAAAATACAACCACAACTAGTGAGACTACAACATCTACTCCCTCCAAGACCCCTTTCACCTCCAGTCCTGAGCCTTCTGAGACAACTGCACCCAGCCTATCATCAAGCGCAAACACACCCACTGAGCACATGACGCAGACTACCTCAGAAGGGACCTCATCTGAGTACACAGTGATGTCTAGTTCTTCCTTCACTGAACAACCATCCACAACAGAGGTGTCTTCTCAGTCCACATTCACTACCTCCTCCAGGGAGCATAGTACTGAAACTACAGTTACAACAAGTGAGATTACAACACCTACTCCCTCCAACACCGCTTCTACACCCAGTCCTGAGCCTACTGAGACAACTGCACCCAGCCTAGCCACAAGAACAAACACACCCGCTGAGCACCTGAAGCCGACTACACCACACGGGACCTCATCTGAGTACACAGTGATGTCTAGTTCTTCCTCCACTGAACAGCCATCCACGAAACAGCTGTCTTCTCAGTCCACATTCACTATCGCCTCCAGTGAGCATAGTACTGAAACTACAGTTACAACTAGTGAGACTACAACACATACTCCATCCATGACCCCTTTTACATCCAGTCCTGAGCCTTCTGAGACAACTGCACCCTTCCTATCTTCAAGCAAAAACACACATACTGAGCACGTGGAGCAGACTACCTCAGAATGGACCACATCTGAGTACACAGTGATGTCTAGTTCTTCTACCACTGAGCAACCATCCACAAAACAGCTTTCTTCTCAGTCAACATTGTCAGTTTCCTCCAGTGAGGTGACTTCTGAAAATACAGTTACAGCTAGTGAGACTACAACACCTATTCCATCTAATACCCCTTCTACATCCAGTTCTGAGCATACTGAGACAACTGCACACTTCCTATCATCAAGCACAAACACACCCACTGAGCACATGAGGCAGACTACCTCAGAAGGGACCTCATCTGAGTACACAGTGATGTCTAGTTCTTCCACCACTGAGCAACCATACACAAAACAGCTGTCTTCTCAGTCAACATTGCCTGTCTCCTCCAGTGAGGTGACATCTGAAACTACTAACACTACAAGTGAGAGTACAATGCCTACTCATTCCATGACTCCTTTAACTTCTAGTTCTGAGCCTTCTGAGACAACTGCACCTACCCTGTCTTCAAGCACAAACACACCCACTGAGCATATGGAGCAGACTACACCCCAAGGAACCTCATCTGAGTACACAGTGATGTCTAGTTCTTTCACCTCTGAGCAACCATCCACAAAACAGCTTTCTTCTCAGTCAACATTGTCTGTCTCCTCCAGTGAGTTGACCTCTGAAATTACAAGCACTACAAGTGAGAGTACAATGCCTACTCATTCCATGACTCCTTTAACTTCTCGTTCTGAGGCTTCTGAGACAACTGCACCTACCCTGTCTTCAAACACCCACCCACCCACTGAGCACGTGAAGCAGACTACCTCAGAAGGGACCTCATCTGAGCACACAGTGATGACTAGTTCTTCCACCACTGAGCAACCATCCACAAAACAGCTGTCTTCTCAGTCTACATTTTCCGTCACCTCCATTGAGGTGACTTCTGAAACTACAGCCACAACTAGTGAGACCACAACACCTACTTCATCCATCACCCCTTTTACTTCCAGTTCTGAGCCTTCTGAGACAACTACAGCCATCCTATCTGCTAGCACCAACACCACCCGTACACCAGAACAGAGCTCACCACTGCTTACAACTTCCACAGCCTATCATGGATCTGCTAGCACAGAAATTGCCACTAGTGGAACATCTCATTCATCGACATCCCTTGAAACAAGTGGAGAGACTTTCACCACTATTGTAGCTCAAAGCACTTACAACACAACATTATCATCTGCATCCATCGCTGAGTCCGTAACCACACACTCTACTACTAGCATATCAGAAATGACCCCAACACTGTTGCCCACTACATTAACGCCTTTTGCTTATACTACTATGAAAATATCCACCGCTGAGGCATCTTCACCTTCCACCACTACTCATGGACGCACATCGACTAATTCACAGCTTACAACTTCATCTGGTAGGTATCTGTGTAATCATATGGAAATGATGTTTATCTCACAGTACAGTATTCCAGTGTTTAACAGTTTACATATGCTGCTGTCACGGGAATTGGGGTTGCTTGTGTTTAAACCTCTAGCTGTTCCAAACTGCTTAGGGGCGGTTGTGTCTTTCCCTGACTGAGCAGCCTTGCCGCTGCTGCTCAGTCGCTAGCAGAATCCGTGAGTGGGCGTCTCCTAAATTTCTTCCAGCATAATAATTCCTTAACGGACAACCTTCGCCTCGCCTCTCTGCGCGGAAGCCTTCTGCGCAGAGTGGGCGTGCCTAGTGGTGGTCCCCCATCCTCCTCACTGACTTCACTGGAAGAGTCTCGGAGCCTCACCTCCGAGATGCTCTCTGCCTCTCCTTTCTTCCTGGTGTCACCTGGACTTCCTTCCCCAGATGACGTTCTCTCTCTACCCTTACTCGTTCCCTCTCCTGCAGAATCCGGAAGCCTCGCCTCCCCCCTCTGCTCTGATGTCAGTTCCCTGACAGCTGCCCATACTGGGCCAACTACAAAGTTATTGTATTAATTTCCAAGGCCTTTAACAACTTGAGTCTCAGATATCTTCAATACTGTTTGATGCGTTATATCCCTGTTAGATCACTCCCATTGTTGTGGGAGTGGCTCTTAGTGGTCCCTCATGGCTCAGGCACAAAGCTCACCCCCCCCATGAGCTGTGTGTTCAGAATTGTGGCCCAATTCTGTGGAACTTCAGGCACCCATAGAGGCTTTGTTGTTTTCAGCAAGCAGTTTAGGCAACACTTTTTGGTTTTCTGATGAAATCTAATTGATTCTATCATTTGTATTTCTCTTGAACCCTCACTGGACACTTCTTAGAAATCATCACTTTACAGCATATATATTGTTGGATCCTGATATGAGGGCTCTTTTATCGGCTTGTTCTTAAATATCGTTAATGTTCTGTTCTGTTCTCTTCCTCAGCTTCTTCCACCACAGTTGTCCCTCTCGGGTGCCTTAATGGTGGAGTGCTTGTTGAGGGTTTTTGTCACTGCCCATCTCCCTATACTGGGCAGCGATGTGAAGAGGCAAAGAATGAAATCCAAGTGGGTAAGTCTGAGCATTATTAGTACAAGCCTCCTGCCCTCTGGCTCTTCCTTTGAAAACAAAAGCTCAGGAATGTCTGGGTATGTGTAGTAATTTTCTAGGTGGGCAACAGTTTTGGTCCTGTGGCTTCAAACTTTGTGTTTCGCATTGCTGGGAGTGATTTTGCTTCTTTGATGACCTGAGTGTTTCTCTGTTGAAGTCTTGAGAAACGGGTGCCCAAGCCAGCCTTCCCTAACATTGTGCTCTCCGGACATGGCTGTCCTCCCATCTGCCTCAGTGAGCGTGGCCAATGGCCAGGCAGGACTTGTAATTGCAGCCCAATGACACCTGAAGGGCACCAAGTTGGGGGACCCCTCTGACCTCAAGAATGTCACCTGCCTCAGGACCTGGAGAGTTCCTGTCAGCAAGAGTAGACTACACTGAGCTGATATGCGCACATTACCATGTATTTCACACCCTGTACCAGTGCCCTTTCTCTGCACACTTTGGTGTGGATCCATAGATGATTCATGTTGTTTCCATGATCACTGTAACTCAATGGACACCTGACGAGCTCATCTTCACATCTGAAACTGTAGCTGTACCTTCATGTATAATGACTCCTGTGCTTTCTGATCACAGTGACTGTTGTGGCCACAATCAATGTCTCTGTAACAGTGAAGAATTGGAAGTTCAGCCCAGAGATGGCGAATTCCAGCTCTTCTGACTTCCAGACATTCGTGAAGATCTTTGAGGAACAGGTGAGGGGTGGCTGGGAGTGCACAGAGCGATGATACCCCCCAAAATTCTCACACCCGAACCCTATGGCGACTTCTGAGTCCAGACCCCATTCATACTCCATTCCTCAGAGGTGAAGTTCATTCACAGCAAGTCTGGAAACACAGTCAGGTTTCCCTCATTTGAAATACCTGGATATCCAGCTTCAGAAATGGAGCCATCAGATGAGTATAGAAAGCTGTTTCTGTAATATGTAGCTCAGAGCTGATGGTTCAAACCCTAAGACACACATCAGGAACCGTCTTCCTAATTGTCACTTTTGAAAGACCAATGTTAAAGTGGCAAAGGTCATCTTCCAGCCTTTATCCCATGCCTTTGGCCAGTCTGCCTGATGGTAACTGGAGTCCAAGAACAACTGGGGGAGGGCCACTGACTAGCCATGCCCAGCACAGGAGATACCCCAAAGGTGTGTTGGAAGGGTGGAGGAGTTAAGGGAGCACAGCAGGATAGAGAGGTCCTACTCAGCAGACAGGAGGGACCAAGAATCTGCTGGGATGGGGGGTTTAGTATTTCTCAGATCAACAAACTAGTTTACATGTGGAGTTTTTTGTTGTTTCTGCTGCCGTGGAAATTCCTGCATTGCAGGGATTGGACCAAATGACCCTCAGGTCCCTTCCAACTCTACAGTTCTATGATTCTAGGACTGCTGACCTACACCTCAAAGACAGACCCTGTCTGATATGGGGGGGTGATGCTTGCAGACAACAGCTGCTCTGCTGCCTCTGTGCAGACCCTGCTGTTGCTTGGTGCTTCCGACTGTTGCTGTCTATGCAGCTGAGATGAGACCTCTCTCTCTTTGCAGATGGACATCTTCTATGCGGACATTCCTGGGTACACGGGTGTAAAGGTGATTCGGCTGAGGTGAGTCACAGAAGAGATACAGCTGGGGACAAAGTATGGGAGGGAGGGTGCTGCTTGGTGCCATGCAATTTCCTGGGCCCCCTGCTGTGAGTGGCCACGCCCTTTAAGCGACAGCCCCCACTACTATCATTGGAGTTTGGATTTGATATCCCGCTTTATCACTACCCGAAGGAGTCTAAAAGCGGCTAACATTCTCCTTTCCCTTCCTCCCCCACAACAAACATTCTGTGAGGTGAGTGAGGCTGAGAGACTTCAGAGAAGTGTGAGTAGCCCAAGGTCACCCAGCAGCTGCATGTGAAGGAACAGGGAATCGAACCCGGTTCACCAGATTATGAATCTACCACTCTTAACCACTACACCACACTGGCTCTACACCACACTGGATCACTGACTCACATCATGCTGGCTGAGAGCGCCTTTGGGGTTGTGGCTAAGTGATTTCTCCCTCTTCCTTCCTGCTGCCTCTTCTCAGCAACGGTAGTGTTATCGTGGACCACGAGGTGCTCCTGCAGCTTCACTTCTCAGACTTCAATGCTTCTTACAATGCTTCCATGAAGAACCTTACACAGACCTTGCAAAAGAATTGCACTTCAAATGACAAAGGTGAGGGGGCACCTGCCACTTCTCATGGAAAGGTCTGGCAGTCATGAGGAAGCAGAAGTCATCCAAGGGTTGTGATTCTGTCCCTCCTTATTTGGGAGCAAATTGCACCAGCATCACAAGTGCATGTACTCCTGAGTCAACATGCATAGGATGGGGCTCCCAAGGTGGCAGCCAGGAGTTAAGCCTGGGGCTGCCAGTCACACTGGGAGCCCAAAGGAAGACTGTGAGGCGGCCGGTGAGCCACCTCTCTGCAGAACCTGAGCAGCTCCACTGAGTCCAAAGTCACCCCGACTCCCCTGGTTCAAAACAATTACATTGTTTTACTAGGAACAGAGGTATCCCTTTGAAACTGAGCAAGACGAAACAGTACGAAAGCTTATTGTCCAAAATGGTATGAAATCAAGGTCTTCCCAGCCTGCCAGTTTCACTCCAGAGAAAAACAGGAATCAAGAATAGAATGAGCCCCAGTTAGACTGTATCTGAGGCCACCTAGTGTTATCTATCCATGCTGAGAAGTGGGGGTGCAAACCCTTCTCTGTTACCCCAGCAGCAGTGCTGTAACATCAACTGACCCCAGCTGATTTCCCCATGCCCACATGGAGATGAATGTCAGAAGAGGTGTGCTTCAACCTTGGTGGCAGGGAGTCATGACAAGTGGGGGCGGGAGTTGAAGAAGAGGTCCCTCCCCATGGATGCCCCCCCCCATGATTTCTTCCTTTCAGAAGCCTCACCTTTGCTTTCTCCCTCTCCTTTAGATAAGCTCTGCTTTACTGAAGGAGCATCTCGTGTGACCGCAGTGCCCCTGAGTCCTAAAGGTGAGGACTGGCGTGTGGGAGGGGATTAGTGTGTGGGATATATATATATATATATATATATATGGATGATCCAGCAGCCAAGCTCCTCTTTTGTTCTCCTGGTTCCATGCATAAGATGTTGTGAGACATTTGCATTCTTCCTTTGCTGACCCTACTCCCCCCTTTTCCATTCCCAGATCTGTCGGACGAATGCAAGAATGCCTCAGTGGTAGCACAAAACCTCCAGCCATATTATGTGGCGCAGGTCATCAACAACACACTTCATTGTGTCTCTAATTGCAGTGCTTGGAACCCCCACCCATTCCACTGTGTGAGTGGAACGTGCCACATCACCTCTGAGGGGCCCAAATGCCAGTGAGTAGCATGCCGGGGGGTGAAAGAGGGAAAGGAGACATGCGGTCAACTCTTCCCTGTAGGCGGGTCCAGTAAGCACTATCAGTGGTGAATAGTTACATGCATTTAAAAAAAAAATATTCCAAGAAAATTTGTTGCCTATCCTTTCTAGGGAGACGCCAAGCACAACAAGCGAAACATCCATTTCTACAAATTTGAAAACAACACCATCTACTTATGCAACTTCAACAACTTCTGCTAATGCAACTACAACACCTTCTGCTTATACTAGTACGAAAATAACCACCACAAAGACATCTTCCCCTTCCACCACTACTCGTGGACACACATCGACTCATTCACAGATTACAAGCTCCTCTGGTAGGTATCTATATATCCATATGGAAATGATGTTTCTCTCCCAGCACAGTATTCCAGGGCTTAACAGTTTACATGTGCTGTGCATACGTTTCAGTGCCTAAACGCGAGTCCAGGATTTCTTCAATACCGCTTGATGCGTTGTTAGATCACTCCCGTCTTTGTAGGAGTGGCTCTAAGTGGTCCCCCATGACTCAGGCACACAGCTCACCCCTCCCCCAGGAGCTGCATGTTCAGAATTGTGGCCCAATTCTGTGGAACTCCATCTTGGCTGACACCTCTTCTTTAGTGAACTTTAGGCACCCGTGAAGGCTTTGTTGTTTTCAGCAAGCAGTTTAAGCAACACTTTTTGATTTTCTGATGAAATCTAATTGATCATTTGTATCGCTCTTGAACTGTCACTGGACACTTCTTAGAAATAATACCATTAAGCAGTACAGCATATAAACGGTTGGATCATCAACATCGTCGCCATATATGAGGGCTCCTTTGCAAACTTGTACTTAAATTTTGGTTATGCTCTGTTGTCTTCCTCTTGCTCAGCTCCTTCCACCACAGCTGTCCCTCTTAAGTGCCTTAATGGAGGAGTGCTTGTCGGGGGTCGTTGTCACTGCCCATCTCCCTATACTGGGCGACGTTGCGAAGAGGCAGAGAATGAAGTCCAAGTGGGTAAGTCTGAGCATTATTAGTACAAGACTCCCTGCTCACAGGATTTTCCTTTGAAAATAGTGGGCAGTATCTATGGCTCTGAAGCTGTAGACTTGGTTTTGTATTGTTGGACGACTCAGTATCGTGCAGTGAAATTTTTCATAGGGCAACAGTTAGGGCCAGAGGCCCTAGTTTGTGAGGGGTGGGGGGTTGATGTAACACATGTGACATCCTGACACTGCGGACGTGAACATCACACCTCCCTCCCTAAGCCAGGCAGAATCTTCCCAGGCTTTGCCAAGGAGGTGCCAGGGCTCTGACAGGACACTGGAGCCTCTTGCCTCCTTCCAAAAGCCAAGTGGGCTTTGGGAAGATGACAGGACAGGTCTTGGACCCATCGGAGCCTTGCACCTCCCTCCCTAAGCCGGGCAGAAGCTTCCTGGGCTTTGCAAAGGAGGCTCCAGGGGACCATTTAGGGTAGCCCCCTTAGTCCAATGACCACCTGCCGCTCTTGGGAGTGATCTTGCTTCTCTGTCATGCTGACCATTTTTCCATGGAAGCCTAGGGCCAGGACAGCCTTCTGTAGCCTGGTGCCCTCCAGATGTTCTTCTCTTGGGCTTCCAGCTCCCCCAGCAAACATGGCCAATGGCAGGGGAGGATGAGTAGTTGTGGCCCAACATCTGGAGGACCCTGCCTGCACTCTCACTTTGCAAAGGGAATTCTGTCCATGGTGAGATTTAAACTTTCTTTCAACGCTGAGAAAGGAGGGAAAGGTTTGCAGCCCCCATGGATGTGGGAAGAGATAGAATGGCGGCTTTTCTGGATGCTGCTGTTTTGTGGGAGATCTTTGGAAGAAGAAAAGGCTAAGGAGTAAACCGTATGCAAACCCAGAGCAGAGTCCTTAAGAGGGTTGGATGGTGCCTCATACGCCTCCTCCTGGCAACTCCTGCAACCAAGCTATTGCAAAGTGCCTTGCTCTGCTTTCCTTTGGACTACATCAGGGAGGCTGGGGGGGGGGGCTCTTGTCTTCTGGCCAACCCAGAGCCTCCATACTTTGGTGCTGCTAATGCACAGTTAAACTTCACCCCAGAGGCACTTGCCATTGTCTCTGGAGACAAACAGAGGCCAACAAGCAGCAGCCAATAAGCAAGAGCCTCGTTTGCCTCAGGCCCTGGAGAGTAACTGCCACTCAGAGTAGACTACACTGAGTTGAGGTGCGGGCAGGTTCCAGTGCATTTCACACCTGTATTAGCACCCTTTCTCTGAACTCTTTGATGTGGATCCAAAGGCAATCCATGTTGTTCCCATTATCACTGCAAATTATCCTGCAACTGCACAGACATCTGACAGGTTCATCCTCACAAGGTGTCTTTTCACCCCAAAGAGACAGGAGGTGTCAATGGGAAGACACTTCCCAAGTGCTACCTGAGGTGGCAAACCTGTGCAAACTTAACTGGGAGAAGCATCCAGCTTGCAGGACTGGGGAGAAGAAAAAAAAATACTCTTGTGGATGGGTTTCTTGATGGGCTACCTAAGTGCCGCAACCCCTTTTGACAAGATCATGATGGGGGGCAGGAGACAGATAAAGGGCATGGCAGCATTGTGCTCCCTTCACCATGCAACTGGGCTGTTGTGTAGTCGTGATTGTGAAAAATGCCTGATTTGAAAATTCCAGCCACCCATGGACATGCTTTGATATAGAACGTTACCTTTTCTGGATGCAGATGACTTCCATACCAACCGTGTATAAAACTGGTTGTATCTTTAGGAGGTGTATATACAATCTACTCAGGCTTGTCCACATGCCTAGGAAGTCTGGGTCTGTGGGGTTTTCCGCTTGTCCTGTGCTTACTAGGCATGCTTACTAGGTCTGAGCAGTTCTGCCTTTGCTACACTGTTTTCCCCTGGGAAACCTGCTCTTTGTGGAAAAACCAATTGCCATTTCTTCCTATTCAGCATAAAACACTTTCCCCAGGAAAGTGCAGAGGCAAATGGAAGTGTGGATGAGCCCTCAACTGGTTCTCAAGGAAAGATGGCCAACTTGTTTGCTTCAAAATGGTGTGTTGCTTCTGTGGCATCACCCTGACACCTGCAGTTTAAAAAGCTTCTGATACCAGCAGCAGCTGGACAAGAATGTCACCTGCCTCAGGACCTGGAGGGTTCCTGTCAGCAAGAGTAGACTACACTGAGCTGATACGCACACATTCCCATGTATTTCATAACCTGTACCAATGCCCTTTCTCTGCACACTTGGTGTAGATCCATAGGTGATTCATGTTGTTTCCATGATCACTGTGACTCAATGGACACCTGAAGTGCTTCTCCTCACATCTGAAACTGTGGCTGTACCTTCATGTTTAATGACTCCTGTGCTTTCTGATCACAGTGACTGTTGTGGCCACAATCAATGTCTCTGTAACAGTGAAGAATCGGAAGTTCAGCCCAGAGATGGCGATTTACGGCTCGCGTGACTTCAATTCATTCGTGAAGATCTTTGTGGAACAGGTGAGGGGTGGTTGGGAGTGCATAGAGGACGCCCACTCAGGAAAATGATTACTTCCAGGCAGACCTATTGTTACTTTTGAGTCTGGGTCCCGTTAACAAGCCATTCCTTTGTGGTAAACTTCATTAACAGAGATTTGTCCGCTTAGCACATCTGGAAACAGTCAGATTTCCTTCCTTTGGAACACCTAAATATCCAGATGTGGAAATGTAGCTATCAGATGAGTATATGCAATATGTAGCTTAGATCTGATGGTTCATACCCTACACAGAATTTCTTCTTGTTTCTGCTGCTGTGGAAATGCGTCTATGACAGGGATTGGACCAAATGACCTTCAGGTCCCTTCCAACTCTACAATTCTATGATTCTAGGACTCCTCACACACACCTCAAAGCCACGCTCTGTCTGAGTAGATACACAGGGCTGGTGATACTTGCAGACAGCAGCTGCTCTGCTGCCAATGTGCAGACCCTGCTGGGGTTGGTGCTTCCGACTGTTGCTGTCTATGCAGCTGAGATGAGACCTCTCTCTCTTTGCAGATGAACATCTTCTATGCGGACATTCCTGGGTACAATGGTGTAAAGGTGTTTCGGCTGAGGTGAGTCGCAGAAGTGATACAGCTGGGGGCCAAGTATGGGAGGGAGGGTGCTGCTTGGGGCCATGCTTGGCCCCCTGCTGTGAGTGGCCACGCCCCTTTAAGTGACAGCCCCCACTACCATCATTGACCTCACATCAGGCTGGCTGAGAGCACCTTTGGGGTTGTGGCTAAGTGATTTCTCCCTCTTCCTTCCTGCCTCCTCTTCTCAGCAATGGTAGTATTATCGTGGACCACGAGGTGCTCCTGCAGCTTCACTTCTCAGACTTCAATGCTTCCTACAATGAATCTGTGAAGGACCTCAAACAGACCCTGGAAAAAAATTACACTTCCAATGACAACGGTGAGGAGACAACTGACACTTCTCTTGGGAAGCTCTGGCTGACAGCTGAAGGAGCCAAAAGATGGCACCAATGTTGCAGACTTTAACGCTACATTCCCATTCCATCTAATGGAGTAGGAGGAAAGGCTTCTTATTAAACGTCTTCAGATCAGCTGTCATGAGGAAGCAGAAGTCATCCAAGGGTTGTGATTCTGTCCTTCCTTATTTGGATTAAATTGCACCAGCATCACAACTGCATGTACTCCTGAGTCAACATGCATCGGATTGGGCTCCCAAGGTGGTAACCCAAAAACTGGCTGTGAGATGGCTGGTGTACCAGCTCTCTGCATAAGTTGAGCGGCTCCACTGAGTCCAAGCCCACCCCCAATCTCCTGAACCAAACAATTACCGTACGCTGTTTTACTAGGGACAGAGCTACCCCTTTGAAATCACCCAGAGAAAACAGGCATCAAGAATAGAATGTACTTCATCTACGCCATATCTGAGGCCACCTACTGGGTTTGTCCTGTATGGTGAGGAACAGAGGAACATTTTCCAAAATGGTGCCAGTCAAAGTCTCCCTAGTTTTCCAATTTCACTGCCATATGGAACAGAACAAGTTTCGCCTATTTATGCCTGATCTGAGGCAACCTGGTGTTATCCATCCATGCTGTGAGGTGAGGGTTCAGACCCATCTCTCTGTTACCAGCAGCTGCCCCTGTAACATCAACCAGCCCCAACTGCTTCACCCTTGCCCACACTGAGATGAGTGTCAGGTTGCTGGTTGGACATATGGCCGAGCAGAGTTGTTTCCCTCAGGAGACATGGCGGGTGGGTGGGGGAAGAGGTCCCTCCCCTTGGATGCTCCCCCTCCCCATGATTTCTCCCTTACATAAGCCTCACCTTTACTTTCCCCCTCTCCTTTAGATTCACTTTGGTTTACTGGAGAGCGTTATGTGACAGAAGTGCCCCTGAGCCCTGAAGGTGAGGACTGGGGTGTGAGAGGGGGTCACTGTGTGCTTAACACACTCCTAATGTTGAAGAGTTGCAGTGGGCTGTCTGGATGGAGGTGGTGGAGCCGTATGAGGAAGAAAACATGACCACCACATGCAAACAAATGCTATGAACCCCCATACACCTTGTGGCACCACTGGATGGTACAGATGTTGCCAGGATTCTGCATGTGCAGTCACATATGAGATGCACAGAGGCTAATCCTAGGGCCATCAGTCGCCATCATAGTTGGTGGGGAAGAAAGTAGGATAAGGAACAAGAAGGGAGGTATTCAGGGCGCCCAATGAGTCCTTCCTTTCCCTTTCCAGATCTGTCAACTGAATGCAAGAACACCTCCGTGGTGGCAAAAAACATCCAGCAATTTTACGTGGCACGAAACATCAGTGGCAGCCTCCAGTGCGTCTCTAACTGCAGCATTTGGCACCCCGACCCCTTCAGCTGTGTGAACGGAAACTGCTATGTCACCCCTGAGGGGCCCAGTTGCTAGTGAGTAGCATGTGAAGTGGGTGGTGGGAAAGGATCTGGGCCTGTGGCACAGGGGGGCGAAATCATGCCCATAGGCTGTTCCTACCAGATGTGCTAGTAGGAACCATTTAAATGTCATTTTTAAGAAAACAGTGTCATTCATGTGCATGTTGTCTTTTGCTGCAATTCCCCGTGGGCACCAGTCACCACCGCTCCTGCCTTGGATTAGGGCCCTGGATGCCACTCAGCCCCCCCCCCCCGAATTGCAGCATCAGAAACACCCCCTGCTCCCCCACCCCGTAAAGAACCCAGGCATCCTGGGCCCCATTACCTGCCTCCTTGCCAGTTTTTGACGCTGCCTTTCCTCCCACAGCTGTGAGCAGTCGGACTCCTACTGGTTCGTGGGCCGGCGCTGTGAGCAGGGCATCAGCAAGGTGGGGGTGGCCGTGGGGGTGGCCCTGGGCCTGGCGGTGCTGCTGCTGATCATCCTGGTCTTGGTCGTGCTTCTCTGCTGGAGGCGCTGTTGCCCGAGGGAGAAAGGACACAGGTAGGAGGAGGGCTGGGCACTCAAAGTCCGGTCAGCTCGGTCTGCTCTGCGTCCCGGTCAGTCTCTGCTGTTTTAACTGGCGCTGGCTCTGGAAGCTGTCCTTGAAATGGGCTGAAGGACAGATCATTGACCTGATGTCCTCTGTTGGTCTCCCACTTCCAGGCTGACGCATTTGCCTCCCGATGAAGAGAGGTGGTACGAAAATGAGCCCGAGTGGGTGGCCCGTCCTGAAGGCCTCGATCCGAGTGCCCCAGCAATGGAAAGCAGCAGCGCTGCAGCAGGTGGTATGTGGCAGAAGGCCTAGGTCGGGAAGGGGAGGTCTTGGTGGTGGTGGTGTTAAGCCCGGGTTTCCATGGCAGCTGCCAGACTCCATCCCGGAGGATGCGCCTTGCCTTGCCCTGGAAGGAAGCACCACGTTAATTGGATTACAGGTGGTCTGGGGTTGCAGGAGGTGTTCAAGTTGCACAGAAACATTCCACCCCACATGCAGAAATAAGGAAATAAGAAAGGGGAGGGGAGAGCAAGAGGGGAGGTCAAACACAGCCACGTCCCCAAACTGCAAGCAGGCGGAAGGGCTTTCCATGCCCTGCCATCCCACCCTGCCCTGATCCAGGAGAAGGAAATAGAAATAAATAAATGAGATGTGGGGGTTCTCATGTACTCTTTGCTCTGGGGAGGGAGCGCAAGGCACCTGAGGGGGAGGATGAGCGTCAGCCCTGATTACGGGCTGCATTATCACACCAGGGAAGATCACTTTGCTTGCCAGAGCTTAGAAAATGCATTTTGTAAAAATAAAGCAGGGTCTGGCTGTGCTTTGTAGGCCCCTCCCTTCTTGGAAGACGTCTGGGTGGGCAAGTGGAGAGGCTGGACGAGGGCAAGAGGAAGCCCTTTTGAAAGAGGGCACCAAATCTTTAAAAATGACTGACATGCTCCCTCCTTCGCCCTTTGCACAGAAGACCCTTACAGCAGCATGAGCAGCGAGCAAGACAGCTCCACCACAGACCAGGGCTCCTTCCAGCCCCGCCTGGACAAAGTGGACACCTCCCTGCCGGTACAAGGAAAGAGGGTGTTTGGGGTGGGGTGCAAGAAAGCAAGGCCAGAACAATCTGGCGGCTGCAAGGCCTGTTCCAAGCAAGGACACATAACAAGATTGTGTGCCTTTCAGATTAGGGGGAGAAGCAACAGGCAGGGGGTTCCGGCGGGCACAGGATAGGTTTCTAGGTGGCGTGGGGAAATGGAGTGTGAGAGGTATGCATCTCGAGATATAGGGTCATTCCACAAACTGAAAAGGCGGGAGGTTCAGAATAGAAGACAGGAAGTCTGCCTTCACAGTGGTGGCAAAATCAATGTATGGAACTCCCTGCCACAAGAGGTGGTGGAGGCCGCTGACTTAGAGGCACAGGTGGGTTAGCCAAATTCCTGGCACTGCAAATATCTCTCACTACTTTGGGTAGTGAAATGTGGCCTCCAGGGTCAGAAGCAGTCTACCGTTGGATGGCAGCTGCTCAGGGCTTTTCTTCTGGGCATCTGGCTGGAATCCGGATGCTGCTGCAGGTGGACTTAGCTCTGACCCAGAGCAGGGCTCTTCCTGAAAAGTGCTTGTCGTTTGCACTGACCCTGCCTCACTCTTCTGCTTTCTCCTTCTCTCCCTGCGTACTGCGGCTGCAGAGACGGATCGCTCGGCCCCAGTTGAAGCAGCCATGAAGAAGCCTGGAAACGGGGCCACAGGAAGGACGCTGCACGCTGGATTTGCACAAGATGTGTCCCCAGGGGCCCAGATCCAGGAAGAGGCAGTGGAGCTGCAGTGACTTGCAGGGGGGCTGCAGTGCTGCCTTCTTCTTGCTTACTCTTGCACTTTAGGACTGGGGTGCTGCCGCCCCCTTGAACACCAGCGCCTCCCCTTGGTGACATTGATAGGAGGACGTGGAGGAGGAACAGGGCCCCATGGGGGTATTTGGGCTCTTGCCCCCGAGGACTCGCGTTGCCCACAGAGGCTGAACTTGCAGGAGCACATCCCTCAGCGCGGAGCCTTTGACCACTGCCTGGATGCCAAGGCCATCTGGTGCAAGAGGAGGCCGCCTTGCAAGGGTCTCGCGTCGTCTCTGCAGGTCGGGGGCCACGGCTAGCACTTTTGGAGAAATCGCTTTCTCCCTTTCTGCACCAGCCCACAATCTGATCTCCAGCTCAGTCAATAGAGCATGAGATTCTTAATCTCGGGGCCAGGGGTTTGAGCCCCACGTTGGGCGAAATATTCCTGCATTGCAGAGGGTTCGACTAGATGACCCTCGTTGTCCCATCCAACTCTGTGATTCTGTTTGCCCCTCTCTACAGACTGGCTGTGCTCCCCCCCCCCAGGTCAGTCCCAGATACACCTGTAGCAACACTGATTCCCCACGATGCCATGCATCTGAACCCACAGCAATGCACCCTGGGCGCAAGCGACAGGAAACTGCCTTCAGTTTTTCCTTCCCTTGGGTCGCTCTGGCCCCACAGCCATGGTCTGCCCACGGGGAACCCTTTGGTCACTCGCATCCCCCTTCTCCCATCCAGCCTTTTACTTGATCAGATTTTCAGTGCAATATGGAAGGAAGCACAGCGACCGGTCAGTTGCCAGAGAAATGATATAGGATGATGATGATGATGGATGACGAAGGGGTCAACATTGTGAACGATTCGTTGGGGTGGGAGAGAGAAAATAAAGCAACTGAGGAAAGCGTCCTCCTCCTTCTTTTGTGGTGTCAATCAATGGGGCTTGGAGAAGAGAGGCTGGCGGGGGGAGTTGTTCCCCCTGGACAATGGTCTCCCTCCACCCCACATAAGAAGGGCCTGCTGGATCAACTCCCTTCTCTTGCGGGGGCCCAATTAGTGCTATGGCCTTCCGTTAAGAGTTTGGGTGTAATCCTTGACGCCTCCCTTTGCATGGAGGCGCAAGTTACAGCAACAGCCAAGGCGACATTTTTCCACCTTCGCCGCATCAAGCAGTTGGTCCCTTCCCTTTCCCGCCCCGACCTGGCCACAGTGATCCATGCGATGGTCACCTCCAGGCTTGACTACTGTAATTTGCTCTACGTGGGGCTGCCCTTGAAACTGTCCCAGAAACTCAGCGAGGCTCCTCACGGGGTCTCTGCCATGGGAGCATATTCACCCAGTGCTTTCCAGTTGCACTGGCTCCCGGTGGAGTACAGGGTCAGATTTAAGGTGCTGGTTTTGACCTTTAAAGCCCTTCACAGCCTAGGACCCTCATACCTACGGGACCGCCTCTCCTGGTCTGCCCCACGGAGGAGCCTCAAGGTCCATAAATAGCAACACCCTAGTGGTCCCAGGCCCTAAGGAAGTTAGATTGGCTTCAACCAGAGCCAGGGCCTTTTCAACACTGGCTCCGGCCTGGTGGAACGCTCTGCCTCATGAGACCAGGGCCCTGCGGGATCTGATTTCTTTCCGCAGGGCCTGGAAGACAGAGTGGTTCCGCCTGGCCTTTGGCTTGGAATCAACTTGATTCCCTCCCCCCTTTCTTTTTTCTTTCTCCTCCTGTGATGAGGCTGCATTTTAATGTTTTAATGTTGTATTTTAATCTTGTTTTTAAAGTTGTATTTCAATCAATTTGTTTTATTATTGGTTGTTAGCCGCCCTGAGCCCGGTCTTGGCTGGGGAGGGCGGGGTATAAATAAAATGTATTTATTATTTATTATGATTGGATCGGGGCAAAGGGGGCCCTGCCTCCAGCCCTGCCTCCTGCCCTCAAAGTGGCCAAATACCCCAAATAACTGAGCAATCTAGATAGACTGCCCCTGGACCTGGAGGTTCCATCAGAACTCAAGAAGGACCAAAGGGGCCCATCTAGGCCAGCAACCTCTTCTCACAGTGGCCGACAGGATGCCTCTCTTGGGAAACCCTCAGGCAGGATCCGAGCAAAATATTTCGTGATATTTTACGAAATGAAATATATGATAGTGGACTACCGGAAAGCTCACAGGTGGGGGTGGGGGCTGCCGTTCCTCTCCATTGAGCAAGACCTCCTCCATCCTATTAAAATCATCTTCGGAACTTTCCAGGGGAGCTCTCTGCCAAAGAACAAAATGAAGAAATTTTTATTATACTGTACATTCAAAGCTACATTTATTTAACAGCAAACTGCCAAGATGTAGGCAGGAAAAAGCAGGTCGTATCTCCCTGCGCCTACAAGCCACAGCCCAGTAACACATACGGATGACCACCTGTCATGGCTGCTTTATCTGAGATTCCTGCATTGCAGGGGTTGGGCTGGATGACCCTCAGGGGTCCCTTCCGACTCTGGTTACATGAGATTGTACAGAAAATTGAACTCTAAGGGGCTCCTTCGGCCCATGAACTGGGAAACTGAGGGAACAGAGAGGCAAATGTGATGTTTTTCAAGCTGAGGGAAACCAGAAGAAGCCCCTGATCTTTCTGTCTGAGTCCGGAGGGGAGCCCCAAGCCATCCTCTGGCCAGGGACCCCCTAAAACTCCGCATGGGCACCTGAGGGAATTACCGTACTTTTCCGTGTATAAGATTGGGGTTTTTTTTTTGCTTTAAAATAAGGTTCAAAATCTGGGGGCGTCTTATACACGGATAGTGCCTATGCCCATTTTCTAAATTTGGGGTCCCCCAAAGTAGGGGGCGTCTTATACACGGAAAAATCCAGTACATGAATTAATGGATATAAAACGGTGGCTGTTTGGGAGGCCTCCGGATATGAGGGCCTGGCCTTCTTTTCCCAAACTGCCACACAACACAAACACACCTCACCATCAAGAGCATATAAATGTTAGGAAATAAATAAGTTGCCCCTGAGGAAGAGGAAACCTTTGGAATCCCCATTACAGAAAGAAAATCCTCCTGAGGGAGCAAGGGACATTGCCTCCATTGCCTGAGGAGAGAGGGGGAGGGGCGGCTCTTCTGGCACTTTCTGAGGGGAAGAAAAAGGCGGGAAAAGGCCTCAGGCGGAGGGAGGAGGGAGGAGGGAGGGAGGAGGGAGGAGGGAGGCCGGCTCCTCCTTGGCCTCTGCTCCGTCTTCTGAGGAGGAAAAGGGTCCCCGTTCTGAGGAAAGAGTCTCATTTCTGGGGAGGAAAAGCATCTCCTCAGGAACAACCCCTTCATTTTATTCATTTATACCTACACGCCGCTTGATTGCAAAAAATAACAGGAACCCTCGAAGCAGTTTACAAAGGAGAAAGCAGTAAAACTGAGAGATTCTCAAGTGTTCTTCGGAACATACAAAAGTTGAAATGCTGAAATAGATTAAGGTTTCCTCAGCTTCCAGTCCTGGCGCTCCTTGGGTTTACTCTTACTCAATTGTTTTGAGGACGGGGTATAATAATGTACAAAAGTCATAGCATAAATTGGTAATTGTACGGGGAGAAAGGATGAGTGGATTTCGAAACCAAAGTTGGAAAAGTTATTGTACTGAGAGCAGCGAAGAGGGAAGGAAAACAGAGGGAATGTCTGAAGGGTGGGAAGTCAGCTTTTAAATCAGTAAATAATAATAATAATAATAATAATAATAATAATAATAATAATAATAATAATTTGTACCCTGCCCACCTGACTGGGTTGCCCCAACCACTCTGGGCAGCTTCCAGCATATATAAAAACATCGTAAAACAATGAACCTGAAACAGCTTCCCTATACAGGGCTGCCTTCAGACGTTTCCTAAATGTTATATAATTGCTCATCTCCTTAAGGTCTGATGGAAGGGAAGGGCGCCACTACCGAGAAGGCCCTCTGCCAATCCATTTGTATTCATTTGGTGGAAAATGGTTACAAATAATGGGAAATCAATTTTAAGAATTGGCCAAAAAGAAATTAAGGGGAGGGGAATGGTAATTTTTAAAAAAACCAGTTAAACATTGTGTGGCTTTCTAGGGAGAGCAAAGAACCACCAGGTGATGCCATTGAGCAACTTACTTGCCTAGTTAGGGCTTTGTGTGATTATGTCAGTGTTTCCCAACCGGTGTTCCGCGGCACACTAGTGTGCCGTGAGACGTTGCCTGGTGTGCCGTGGGAGGGAGGTGGGCGAGTCGGGCGGCGAGAGGCGGGGCGGCGGCGGCGAAGAGAGGCCGCCCAGCGCGGGGCTCTCGCCGTCTGCCTGCCTGGCTGCCTGCGTGGCGCTGACGTCACGGGGCTGTAACGTGCCCCACATAGGCACACGCGGGGCGGCGAGCGAGCTCCCTCCCACATCCCATCGCCGGCTCTGCACCAGGCGGTAGAGCTCGGCGAAGTCGCCGCGCTGGAAGGCCAGCAGCGCGCGCGCCTTGGCCAGGCTCTCGCCCGCCTGCGCCTCCAGGCACGGCGCCTCGGCGTCGGGCGGCAGCGAGCCCAGGAAGTGGCCCAGCCGGCCGGGGTCGCCCGCCTGCAGCAGCGCCTCGCACCCGCATGAGACATGCTCCGCCGAGAAGCGCGGCGAGCGCGGAGGATCGGGCGCGGCGGAGGCCAGCCCCGCGCTTGGAGAGGACGCAGCAGCCGTCGCCAAACCCGATCCTCCTCCTCCTGCTCCGCCGCCATCCTCTGGCTCTCGGCCGGGAGGAGCCTGCGGCGACGGGGCGGGCGCCGAAGTTGACAGAAGTTGGCGCGCCTCCTCGGCAGCGCCTTCGTCCTCCTCCTCCTGCCTCTGCTCTCCTCCGGCGTTGGGGGCGCGCCGCCCTCCCCGGCCGGGGGGCTCGGCGGGGCCCGCGGGGAAGGAGGCCATGTTCGCGGCGCGCGGGATCGCGGCCCCCCTCGCCCGCCTCCGGCCCGCTCCCCTCCCCCTGCGCGCTGCCCTAGCCGTGCGGGTCTCCTCCCCCTGCGCCGCCGTCCCCTTTCCACATCCTAGGAGCCGCGGTCCGCCTACCGCCCCCGGGCCGCGGCGCGGCTCCCAGCCCGGGCTGGCCTCCGCCTCCTGGGACGCGCGCCCACCCCCGCGGCCCCCCAAACTTCGGAGCAACTCTCCAGACGCTTCTCCCCCGCCTCAGTCTCCCTCCTTTCCACTTCTCTTCCCCCCTTCCTTCCCTCTTTCTTTCTCTTTCTCTCCCACCCGCCTTTCCTTCTATTAACTTTCCTTTCCCCTCCCTTCGTCCTTCCTACTTTTACTCCTGGGCTCCTCCCCCCTTTGCGCAGCCACAAATCAATCTCTCTCTCTTTTTTCCCCTCTCTCTCTTCTTTGCTCAGACGCAAAAAAGCGCCGCTTTTTGGAAATCCGGACTGCTGTCCCCGCTGAAACGATACTTTAAAAAAGGAAGAACCCACTGGGTCTTATTTCTGTTTAAAGCAGTAGATCCCGAACTCTTTTGGCCCACTGCCCCCTTGCTTCCACATCCCCCAGTGTCCCCTATGCTTACCCTATAGAAAGCATTACAGGGGTTAACGCGGCTCGCTAAGGAAGATATTAATAGAATTCTGCATTTGGGGGGAGACCCTAACAGTCATCTACCATTACCTTCTATGCTGTTACTATTTTTTTATTTTTTTTTACATAAGTAAAAAGTGACCTTTCCCCATCTGGCATGGTGGTGTGCCTCGAGATTTTTTTCATGAAACAAGTGTGCCTTTGCCCAAAAAAGGTTGGGAAACACTGGATTATGTGATTATGTCTTCCTGTCTTTCTCTCTTTTTCAATGACACTCTTGGCACAGGCTTCCCCGACAGGAAGACCTCAGCCTACCTTTATCCAGGTGGCCTTGAAAAATGATCCGATGCCTTGAAAAGTGATCTGTGGGGATCAGG